AAAAAAAAAAAAAAAAAAAAGAGAGAGAGAGAGAGAGAGAGAATAAGGGAGCAGGTTAGGCCTTTAAACTTTGAATTGTTGGGAATGTAGGTCTCACTGGCAATGTATTTGGTCCAAGAACACAGAATTACATAAACTTTTGGGTGCCAGTTTCTTTCTCCAGCTGTACAGGAATGCAGACCCCTGGCCCCAATTAGGATTGATTTCTGCAGATGTTTTTGTTTTGTTTTACCCATTGGATTAGTTCAGCATTTTCTCTTCCCTTTTTCTCCCTTTTGTGAGTTACAGCATCACAATCTTTTCATTAAACTTCATTAGCAAGAGAGTAGATGACAGACCTCAGAATCATAATCGAGACATTTTGCTAAACTTTCAGCTAATAACACAGTAAGCCAAGTTGTTTTTTCTCCTTTTTAGTTGAAGAAAACCTGTCTGTCACCATTTTGTCATCCAGTGTCCTTTTACTCCTTTTAAATAGCTCAAGTTGGGAAATTAAGTTTTCTCTGCATCACTTTTCTTGATGACGTTTTGGCTATTGCAGATACAGTCTCCATTGGCAACAGGAAAACTTGGAAAAATTACCATCATTAGAAAATTCTATATTTGGACAAATCAGACAGATGTAAATGTTTTTCTTCACTGTAGTCTCTAGACATGCCTCTGCCTTGTTTCCCCTTTCTATTTCAAACACACCTATGTTCAAGAGTTTTCCTATTGATTGTAAATACCAGAGAAAAATAAGAGCAAGTAAGGCCTAAAATTAAGTTGATCAAATGTCAGGTCTGAATGACCCCTGTGTATGTTAGGCTCTGAGGAATTTCAGTTTCAAGCATTTTTATCAGTAAGACAGGGTGATGCTTGGGTGCCTGAGACAGTGTCTGGTACATATTTTCTCAGGAAGTAGCTGAGTGGGAGAACTGCTGAATACATTCAGGAATACTTCATAGTACAACTGCAATCAAAACAGCATCTCTGATGTGAGGGCAGTCTACCCTTGACATCTGCCATCCCATTGATCACCACTGCACATTTGGTTGAAAAGGAAGACAGTTCCCAGAGAGAAGAGGCATGTTCTTCAGCAAAGGGATATAATAGCAGCTGTGCTCCCCTGTTAGACCCTCCAAACAAGCTCTCAGAATGACATCTTATCATCTTGCTGTGATATAGTGCTTTCTTGATGCTTAGAAGGACCTCTGCTGAACTGTGAAACTGATTCCATGCTGAGATGGGGTTCCCCATAGTTTTGGTGATAACCCAAAACTGGATCTGGTTTGGAGGTCAGAGAACTTGTCATCTCCCTCCTCTGAGAAGGGCCTGGAATGACATGACCAGAAGGACTATCTTATCTGCCTCATCACCTTTACAATGTCACCAGCCTTGTCAGTTATGCTGCCTGTTTGCTAAGTGTGTAATAAATTCTAGGGTTTGTGATTGATTTTCAGAGAGGAAGAAAACCATTTCTTTTGGCAGCTGAGAAGGGCCATGTGGAAATGATTGAGAAACTCACCTTCCTTAATCTTCATACTTCAGAAAAGGACAAGGTGAGTTGGACTTAGATTTCTTTGCTGAGAACAAGGGGAGGTGGCATGGGAACTAATAATCCATGTGCAGATTTGGTGCTACGGTTTGGTCCACAGTTAGTTGTTAATTGCTACTACTGAGAGAATATGGGCTATACAGGTGAAATCCATTCATGTTTGCTGGAAATTGACCAGTGGTATTTGCTCCATAAATGTTTTGAAGTTAGTTTACTTCATGCTGAGTTTGATCATCTAAGTCAGAAACTCAAAGTTGCTTGTGATATTTTGTTTCCTAAGTGGAGGACCCACTCTTGTTAAATGCTAACCATCTCCTCTCCTTCCTTGAAAACTGCTGCAGATTTGGTTCCACATTAATTGGGGGAGGAAAACTACCAAGGTAGCCATCTCTATTGCTATGGATATTTTTGGTGACTTTCTCAGGAGAAATTCCTAGATGTGGAATTATAGGTCAAATAAATCTGCACACTTTAAAATCTTTCATATATACATATATAAAACTAAAGTTACCTCTCCGACATTTTTACCAGCTTAATCTCACATAGGCTATGTGGAATTATTTTTGTTGTCCCAATTTTTTGCTAGTAAATTGGTACCAAAGTTAGAGCAAGAATTTTTTTTTCCTTATTGGTTCAAATAGCTGTCTTTTCATTTAAAACTTAAAATTTATAAACCTTACTTAACTGTGGATAGTGTCTATACTATGGACTGCAGTTTTAACTAAAGAAAAAACTTTCAGAGGCCGCACAGTGCCCTGTGTTGGAGGGCATGCTTGTCAGCACAGTGGATTTCACCTGGAGTTTATCTCTGTTGCAGGAGGGAAACACTGCACTGCACCTGGCAGCAATGCATGGCCACAGCCTAGCAGTGCAGGCCCTGCTAACTCAGTGGCAAGAAGTAAATGAGACCAACGAGGTATGTGGAGTCTGCCTTCCAGGTAGGCACAGTACAGCAAGGGAAGGACTGGAGAAATAGCTTTCAAAGAAAGAACAAAAGGAAGCCAAAGGTGTTAGTGCCATAAGGTGTAAAATGCAATGTTGAAGAATCCTGCTGTTTTCTTCAAAGTATCCTGGAGGAAGACATCTGTTAATTCATTCACTTGTTCACTCAAAAGTCATTTGGGCTAACAACCATCCTAACTCCAGTTCCAGGGTATCCAACACCCTCTTCTGAAGGCATTACATGCACATGGTATATTTATGTACGGGCAAAACACTCATATACATGAATTTAAAAAAGAATTTAAAGCCACTTTTTTCCGATAAAGTATATGTTCTTATACTGGAGGCCTACTGGACAAGAAAGGTATATACACATAAAATACTGTATTAGGCTGCATGCAGTTATAGATGTATCTACAAGATGCCATGAAAATTTGTTTCAGAAACAGCAGACTTCACTTAGGAGGCTGTATGTTCTCACTCTTCACTGCACTTTCGAATGGACTTTTTTTTTTTTTTTTCAAAAGAATGGAGAGACAGGCCAGGCACAGTGGTGGCACATGCCTTTAATCCCAGTACACAGGAGGCAGAGGCAGGTGAATCTCTGTGAATTCAAGACCAGCTTGGTTTACAAAGTGAGTTCCAGGCCAGCTGAGGCTACAGGAAGACTCTGTCTCAAAAAGACCAA